TAAAATATTTATTAGCTATTTTTGAAGATCTTTTGAAAAGTTATTTGCTGTTATATAGCAAATTAAATAGACAAGTAGAGTGAGTACAGCCTCTAATCAAAACCTAATCAGATGTTGTAAGATTTTGACCCATATCATCTTCTTATGGATGATTTTTCTTTCTAAGAAAGGGCGAAACTGTTTCATCTTCATGCCAAAAACTTCACATATTTTTTTAATGTCCTGCTGACAAATATAACCATATGTGTCCTAGGGTCACCATAAAGTGTTCTCCTTTAATTTACTAAATTCTGTGTGAAACATTTTAAAAAACATGTCAGAATTTAATGTTTGTTTCAAGCTCCATCACTTCTAGAATTAAGATTAAAAAAATATTTGCATTGTTATTGTTTTGAGAGGGAGGCTACATAGAGAATATTCGGATAATAGTGACTTTCAAGTACATTGTTTCCCCAGAGGATTTTCATTATTATTTTTACTTGTTTTATATATCTTACCAGGCACCCTTTAATGTATTCTGTGCAATTCATTTCTTTAGCAATGAATTATTTTATCATTCTTACAGAATGAGAGTTAGAACTGTTATTTAGGATTGTTTTAAATATAAAATGCTCTCCTCAGAAACTACATGCATTAGTTTTCCATTTGCATCTGCATGTGGTGAGAAACTCAGTATATCCTAGTATTGGTTTAGAGACAGTAAATTGTAAATTCCTTGTTAAATCACTGAGAGTGGGGGAATTCTGAACTAAAAAAGCTGCTTCTTGCTCTCTGGATATTGTTACTCTGGTTTTGAATTGGAACATCTACACATAAGATGCTGAGAGTGTTCTGCTACCTTGTCCTCCTTGACACTTTGACAAACAACGTTTTTCAACACAGGAGATTTTCTTTGGGTTTATTACATTAGGAAAGAGACTAACGAAGGGAATAGGTGAAAGCTAGGATGCTATTGAGCTACAGGCAGAGGAAAACAATGCAGTATTCTCTCATGCTGTAAATCCAGCTAAGGTTTGCACTAAAGAAGGAAGAGCTCAAAAATGGAGTGGTTTGGGGTTTTTTTTTCTGTTTTCTTACAGAAAAAGAGTTTTGCTCTTTTTTCTTTTTTTTTTCTTTTTTTCTTTTTTTTTTTCATAAAATAGACCAAAAGATGGTTATCTTAATTTGAGGCAGTCTAACTTTCCATAAACATTTCTGTGGCAGTGAAGATCAGGAATTAAGAGGCAAGAGTACAGCTCTAATCCTGAACCTTCATGACATGAAGCTTCAGTGCAAATGCTGAAGTTCTGTGCATGTGATTATCATGCAGTGGTTGTTAGGATACGTGACATCTTGGGTAACAGGACTATTTCCTTTGCAAACATAAATCTATATTCTGGTTCTATTTTACAAAACCTTATGGCATCGTTTGTCATTGTTTAGTGCCACGGTTTTATTACACTGTTCTTGGAACCATTTTGTATCAGAAATAATTTATGAGAAAAAGGCAGATTAAAATGTCATTATTAGTATTATTTTAGATGCCAACAGTCTGTGTATAAATAGGCAATGAACTATTAACATTACTAAAAGTCATGTTAAATTGAGTGGCAAAAATGGGGTTTAGGCTATACTGCATTAAATTTTCATGTAACTGTCAGCAGTTTGGCATGTTTATCAGCATGCTTTAGAAAATAATAGAATAATCTTTTCTACAAACTAGGAAAATATCATTGTCCCATCATTTCAAAAAAATAGAGTAATATTAATAATAGAAACTGATTTCAGACCTCCAGATCTATGTTCCATCACTATTTTATTTTAGTTTTTTTATGGAAACACTGATTCAGATGAAAGATGGTGAAACCCCTGGCTTGGGGGCAATAATTTAAATACAAGTATATACATGGGGAAACCCAAAAATATCCTGTGCTAACATCTGAATTCAACATCTGTGATTGAATGTTTAGATCACAGGGGACAGATATGAATAACCAGGCTGCTGCATATTAAACTAGCTGGAGCTATTTTTAAGCCAATGGTTTTGTTCCTGCTATACTCATTAGAGGAAGACACTAACTAATCTCATAGCCTTTAGGATGGTTTGCAAAACACCATAAATTAGCATCCCTTAAAATAGAAAGTATGGAAAAGAATTTAGTGAAGGGTTTCATTTAAGAAGTAGGTGAAGGAAAAAGAATAAATAAATCGTTCTGCATGAATGAGAGAGTGGAAAAAATGGGATTGCTTCAACTTGCATTGAAAAATCCTCCAATGAATATATGAAATGATTGCATGCTATAAAACAAAGGCAGACCAGAAGAAAAAAAAAATAGATTTGTAGCATTTATGGAATATTTAGTTTAATGTTTCTTCTACATTATATTAATAAGACAGCAAACTAAATAGAGAAGAAACAAAAAATAAAGGTAAGAAGTGTTGCACAGTTCAGAGTTTTAGATGCAGTTGTGGTAAAAGGTGTCAGGAGGCAAATATGAATGTTGTGGATATTTACACCAGGCATCATATTGAAATGAGGAAACAATGAATGAGACAGAAGACAGCAAGGAAGGGAAATGGTCATAATGTATCAGTAAATGAGGCAGCAGTAAGGATTTCCTGGTAGATCAGTATGAAGATGAGAGATAATGTTCTTTCATTTCTCTATGTAGGACTTTGGCTCTTCTGTACATTTTAGACCAAGTCAGGCCCCAGTCAAGTGTAGCTTCTCTGGTGTGCTCCCTAACCCACCCCTCCTTGAATCAGGATTGTAAGAAGTTTGTTCCTGCCTTATGGCATGGTGTGAAGTTTTTCAATGTAAATACAGGGATAGCTGCTGTCTTTCTTCATTAACATATCCCCTCACTTTTTCTGATCTCTGTTGGATTCTACAGCCATATCATTATCTTGATTGGGCTGTCAGTAATAAAAACTAATAGGCTATTTTTCCTGTTTATGCCTAGAATTCCAGCCCAAAGGAATTCTGCATCATGCATACAGCCCATTATGTACTTACCTTGCTAAGCTGGGTCACTTTAACACTTCTCAACATCTAGCCCTGTTCTGTCATTGGCTAAGACTGGATATCAAGGAAATGTCTCAGTTTTACAACAGCCCATTAGTTGCCTTCCTTTTTCCAAGTTTGCTATAGCAAATGATATTGATATACCCATTCAAGACTAGATATTTTGGGTTCTCCCATCTTAATTTTTAGACTTCTACCATTTTTGAAAAGCATGAGTCTTACTGTTTTGGTTCCCTGTGGTGTACTAGTCTAGGAGCCATTCCTTTTGTTCTGCATGATACTCTTTGAATATTGCTCACCCCTCCCCTGGTCCCTTACTCAGAGATGCAGTATTTCTGTGGTTTGACCAAAAGGGATGAGTCTTTGCCTGTCAGCTATCCCTCACTCTGCAGTGACCAAGTTAAGCTCTTGATTGTACTTGCCAACAGGTTGGGTTCCTTATGATTCAAAGACCATTCTGTCTGCTCCTTTATTCAAGAAGTGTCCTTGGGTCCTGATTAATCTTATTACTATGAAGGGGAGACTGAGAGGTGACCTTATTGCTCTCTATGACTACTTAACAGGAGGTTGTAGCGAGGCTGTTGTTGGTCTCTTCTGCTAAATTACTGATGATGGGATGAGAGGAAATGGCCTCAAGTTGTGCCAAAGGAGGTTTCAATTGGAGATTAGGAAGAATTTCATCACAGAGAGAGTGGTTAGACACTGGAACAGGCTGCCCAGGGAGGTGGTAGAGTCATCAACCCTGGAGGGTTTCAAAAAATGAGTAGATGTGGCACTTGAAGCTGTGGTCTAGTGGTTGGGGAAATGTTGGGAGGAAGGTTGGACTTGATCCTAGAGGTCCTTTCCAACCATTGTGATTCTATGATTCTTCTATGATTCTACTTCAGATGTTCAAGTCTTCCTCTTTTTCCTTGCCAGGAATAAGAAAAATGTTAAACTCAGCCTGTTTTCCCTAAGTTTAAGGAAGGTAGGGGGAAAAAAAGAGGTAAACAGGAATAAGAATAGATGGCTAGTTGGATACATCAGGTCATTTAATTGAAGAGAAGATTGAAAATGAGAGATAAAAGTAAAGTCAGGAGATGGAAAAACATTTATGGGATCTAGAAGTTCTTTTAAAGATGATAAACCATAAGAAAAAAGTCAAGGAAAAGTGGACAAGTTTAATCCAACAGTTGAATTGTAACAAAGCTGTAAATCCTTTAGACATGAGGTTTAGATCTCATGTCTAAATGTAAAACGAAAATAGAGGAGTAAAATGAAAATAGAGGAGAATCATAGGAGGAAAATGCATCAGTGTTTAAACACTACCTTAAAAGCCTTTAAAAAGAAGCTATAGACTAGAAGTCCATTTTAGGCAAATGTTCATCCCTTGGTGTTCACTACTTTTCAAAAGTCAAATACTGACTTTACAGATGCCTTTGGTCTGATGCAGGACAGCAGTTTTTGTGTGGCACTATTTATGATATGAGAGAGGTAGGAGAACAAAACGGGCACATATATTTGTGTTTTAATAAAAATTGCTATGTATAGTTGGCTATTAGTGCATTAGTGAATATTTGTATATTCATGTGATCATATATAAAGGTTTGTAGATTTGAGAATAATGGAGTGTATTCTGAAGAGGCATAAAATTGCTTACACACACTTTTATCCTCTGCAACTGGAGAAAACCCCCCTGGCAGGGAAGATTTGAAGAGCTTAGCAATACCTTAATTCCTACTTCATTCAATCTTTGAAAATAATTCCTAGATAAAGAGTGGAGGACCAAAAATGCACAAGTGTAAAATGCATAGATGCAGTTTTTGATGTGTCCATATTTTACAGTGCTGACTTTAGCTTTTAAAAGTTCTGAATTCCAGCAACATTTGCAACGACGTTGGGCTCAGACAGCAAAACATGCTACTGTTATAATGGACATATCTCTCTTTCGAGTGCTGATTATTGTTCTGATGTTTATCCATTTTTATCACCACCTAGCTTGCTCTGTTTTGCACAGGGCGGCCGACCTGCAGCTGTGCGCTGGGCTTCACGGGACCCAACTGCAACCAGACAGTCTGCCACCACTCCTGCCAGAACGGAGGGACCTGCAGTGTCACTGCTGGGAACCAACCCTTCTGCAGCTGCTTGCCTGACTATACAGGAGACAGATGTCAGTATTGTAAGTAATCTTCACAAGCTGTTAGATCCAGATTTATAATCAAAGTTCTACCAAACGGGAGCTTAGCATGAGTGGTTTTGTTGCGACATGCGTTGGTAAACTTAGCTCCAGAGTTATTCATATTGCTAAGGGAATGTAATCTGATGGATTCAGGTGATCTATGAAGATATTTCTGCAATATCCATCTACATGTGTAGGTGAAGGAAGAACATTTTTAGGAACAATTTATTATTTCCATGAAAGAATGTAAACAAGACAGCTGACTTTGTCAGTAGGAATGAGGGAATTGTTTTAAAATTTTCTACTCCAACTTCCCATATTTGTTCTTCTGCTGGTGGAATACCTGAAAATAGTGAATTGAAGTTGTTGGTTAAAGAATTTTCCTAGTATCCCTTATCTTTGCAAACCAGAACGTGTCTTGAACTGCTACCTTACCTTGTGGGTTTTTTCATAACCCCATTAAGTAGTAAACTGACAACTGCTTTGAGTTTCATGCCTATGTATTCCTTCATCTTGCTCAGTTTACAGTCACCTTGGGGATGGTTTCTGTCCCCTCCTGGTACTTAAAATCAGGATTTCTTAGTATTACTTTCATTAATTCTCAGGACTTAGATTCTATCCTGTGCATCTAAATTTCTCCCTATTTTTTTATTCCACTGACCCATCACTCTCTTCTCATCGAGATGTTTTCAAAGGTATCCCTGCCTTTAAAAAGGCTCTTCTCTCTTTTTAGAACTTCCTCTAATTCCTTTACTTCTTTTACAGAGGAGAAAGGAAGGAAGATTATCAACCAATAGGCCTTCTGTTCCTACTCCATTTATCTGTATTGTCTCTCTGTGCTTTCCTTTAGCATGCATCACTATTATCTATTTTCAGTAACCCAAAACATTCCAACATAATCTTGAATTTCTTCTGTTGGTCAATCATTTCAAAATTACAATTTGTCTTCCTCATGCCTCTTCAACACGATGACTCACTATCAATCCTAAATTAGAACTGATTTTTTATCTGGATTAAAACTTTTTTTAAAAAATCTTTTTTCTACTCCTGCTTTGCTTTTACTATAACACTCTAATGAAGAGCACTGTCATAGTGCCTGTTATGGAACAGAACATTAAACATGAAAGCCATCACGTTTAGTACATAATTCAGTGCATTTGCTGAAGGTGGCTAGATTTAAACAAAATGGAAGGGAAGTTAGGTGTTAAAAAGGTCTCATTTGGATTTATCTACAAGATACAAAAAGTATTTAATTTTAGGGAAAGGCCTGTCAAACAAGGAAAGAGTTAGTGTGTATCTTAAATAGGATTTGTAGTGAAGTATGCTGAATATATTTCCAGTTGGGAGACTGTGAAATAAATTGAAACCTTTGAGTGGAAAACCAGCAGTTATTGTGACTCTTAGTGTTAAACAAACTGCATGGATCCACAAATAACTATCTGCAAACCCAACTGGGTATTCGAAAACAGTGTAGTACATAAATCATGCACAGACAGACACACCGATTAAGGAAAAATATTTACTTGAAGCTTACCCAAAACCAAACAAATTGTTTCTAGTTGAATGCCTCTGCAAACACTTTTTTTTTTTTTTTTTTTTTTTTTTTTTTAAGAATTAATTTAAATGTAAATTTAGGGGTACTTTTTAAGCAGTGCTTATTATCAGATTTGGATTGTCTGCTGACACTTGGAAAAATGCCACAATACAGAGACTCAAACACATTCTAAAATAGGAAACAAAATTGAGCTATTGTTTATTTAAACCCTAAGACTTTTAAGAAAAAAACATGGTCTGATGATCTGTTAGAGTACTGGATTTTTGTGGTCAGTAACAATTCTATGAAATTGTACAGTTTTACAGTTAATACTGAGTATATAAATTCACACCTATAATCTTTTTCCTTGTTAATCACATTCACATTGTATGCATGTTGAAATATATTAATAGAGCATTATTGCCAAGATTGGTTGTCTCCAAGATAGCTTTTTCAGTCTTTATATAATGTGATTGAAACTAGTTCGTATGCAAAGGATGATACATGAGTGTGCATAGGTATTTTATTCATGCTCCCAAGCTGCAAATATTATTAGTGGTTTTTATGGCAGGGAGAAGACATTTACTTGTGGTATTGCCAGATTGCAGAGACCTTATTTTCCTCATACTTATCGTCTTCAATTACCCAGTGCAGACTTTCTCCTGTGATTAGTTCACATAAGGGCTAATAACCAAAATGTGTGCTCCGTGTCAAGGCACTGGCACTGCTGAAATAAATTTAAGTGAATGAATTTACATAGAGTTCTGCTAACATTGTGCATGTTATTATATACACATGAATTTGATGTATTTGAGTATAACTACCTATTTTAAATTCCTGAAATAAGACATACAGACTCGTTAAAGTTCATTTCTTGTATCATTTAAGGTCCAAACAACCTAAAAAATAGAAAACATTTTGATGCAGTTACAGTCATTCAAAGTGGATATAGTGATCTCACAAGCTGTTACTTTCCCTGAAACTGAAATTCCTTTCTTTAGGGGGGAAAAAAAAAAAAAAAAAAAAAATGATTTTTGTGGATTTCAGTCCAAATGTATCATACACATTTTAGATACAGCAGAAGAATAAAGGTGTTTGTGACTACAGGCAATAGTAAAAACCAATAATTGTTTTGGTACATGAACTTCCCATTCCTAGGATTGGGAAGGGCTGTGGGGGGTGGGTTATCCTAATGTACATGGAAACATTGTCCCCTTCCAGTGCTTTTTTTAATATATAAAATGTCTCTCAATATTAGCTTTTAAACTAGGTTAGGTTTTGTTCAAACACCAGCCCCCTGACGCAAATTACCATTCTGTACCTTGAATTGGGGAACAGCAAACAATGAACTACTTCATTTAGTGTCTTTTAAGCCTCTCTGGTTGCTCAGTAATAATTCCATGAACAGAGGAGTCTACAGCCTGAACAGATAGGTGGAGACATACAATGACTAATCAAAAAGAAGTAGCTCCTCCAATAGCCACACTGTCTCTTAGCAGAACTCTTCCAGCATGGTGAGTACCAACAGCATGGCAGTCAGCACGTAGTTCTCTGAAAAAGGGAGAAATGACTCTGATGCACAGAGAAGCATAAGCAAAATGTGTTTCCCACTTTATGAGGTACCCTCACAAATAATCCACCTTAAATACACTCAGGAAAATATAACAGTTTTAGGAAGCATCCCATTTGCCACGTACCATGTGACCCCAGTCAAATGGCAGCTGGAGAGCTGACACGTTCAGACTCAGGGCTGAGGTGGCCATCTCACAGAATCACAGGATGGTTGCACAGCTCCCCTGTGAGGACAGGCTGAGAAGGTTGGGGTGGTTTAGCCTGGAGAAGAGAAGGCTCTGGGGAGACCTCGTAGCAGCTGTGCAGTACTTAAAGGTGGGGAGACACTCTCAGTCAGGGACTGCAGTGATAGGACAAGGGGTAACAGCTCTAAACTAGAAGAGGGTAGATTTAGATTAGTTGTTAGGAAGACATTTTTCACTGTGAGGGTGGTGAGATGCTGGAACAGGTTGCCTACAGAAGTTGGTGGATGCCCCCTCCCTGGGAGTGTTCAACGCCAGGCTGGATGGGGCTTCAAGCATTTTAGCCAAGGGTTCATTCTCTAGTGAACAGCTTACTACTCTAATTCTAGCTGCCACTGTCTCACTCTTAGCCATATCCTGAGCTTCAAAGGATGTGATTTTTTTAGTCTTGACAGAAAGAAAATGTTTATTAAAGTGGAGCAGTTTAAGATAATACAGATGCATAGTTCAGAATTGATACATCTTATACATCAAATTACTTCATCTGTCCATCAGGAGCAACACCAAGTGTTCAACACAGCATCTTAACTACACAGAGCTGGATAAAGTATTAGAAACAAAGAGAAAGAGAGACATTGAATGATTTGTCCCCATTAAGGAGCTTAAATGATGACTTTAAAAAAAAATAAGTACCACATAAATAAAATTCACCAAAATGTGAAGATACCAGTATATTGGAGCTCTGGAAGCCCTGTCAGTTAGACAACTTGTTTGTTTTAAAGGGATATGAAGAAAATGAGACAGTTATTGGTGCTTCTACAGAGTTAAAGAATTCAATACTTGAAATTTCAGTCCTGCTGGCATTTAGACATTTAAATAAGATAATGGGGTCTTTCACAGTGTATAAAGATAAGAATGTATGTAGGTTTTTTTAGAACTTATGGATTATGTCTTTATATATTATTATTATTATTAGAACTTCATGAAATCTGAATATGTGGATAAATGAAAATAAAATTTAATTATTTCAAAATACTGTTTCCGTTTCAGGTTAGCATAATGCTGTTAATGGTAATGTGAATGTATCAGAAGATTTTTATTCAGCCACTGTCTCATTAAATACATTAACATCACTCTGCTTTTCTCATCAACAGTCTTTATATTATGTGGGATGATGCCATAAATGGTTAGACATCTAGAAGAGGAAAAAAAAAAAAATCTTATGAGTTCATCCTTCGATTTCACTTCTCAAAACTACATCATTAATATATTATCTATCTTTTTATAGAGCATACTTGTAGTTGCCAGTGAGCCCCCAGCATCATTTATTGTTTAGTTTTTTTTATAGTACCTTTTACAGCATAGAAAAGTAAGGTATTCTTTTTTATATGATACTCCTTAATGTCTTTTAGTAATTAGCTTTCCTCTTGCTTACAGATGTTTGCCACCATTATTGTGTGAATTCAGAATCATGTACCATTTCTGAGGATGGAAGTGTGGAATGTGTCTGTCCCACTCGATTTGAAGGCCCGAAATGTGAAGTGGACAAGTGCCTCAGATGTCATGGGGGACATTGCATAATAAACAAGGACAGTAATGACATAGTATGCAAGTAAGTGTGGCAGAGTATGGTCAAAATTATATATTTTATAGCAATTATGTCACATTATCTTTTAAATCTCTTACATGGTGGCTAGCTGCTGAGCCAGTCACATCAGAACACATCCTCTGTGTGATTAACTGCCCACACAAAGCCCACTGGCTCCTGCCTTTTTAAACTAACTTTTGGAGCACTCCTCACTGGGAGAAGTATAATGTAGCAGAGACTGAGTGGGTCTTCAATTGGAAAACAAAATTGGTATATTTAATAAATTAATAATCCAGTTTAACCACACTGTTAAAATTTATTCATTCTGCAGTATCTGTGACAGTGATAGAGGCATATTGTATACTAAGAAAAGCATAGGTAGTAGAATAATAGTTTATTTTCATAAAAGGAAAGATTGAAAATATTTTGTGTAATAAACTCGCTGCCTGTGCTAGCTTTTCGAAGTACAAACCTAGAATTCTTGCAAGCAGTAGATCTTACACATATCATAAAATCAATATTTTACCATATAGATAATTATAAGGGAATTCACTAGACTTCTTAATCTACTTATTGCTATTTGTATTTCTTCCTAACCGTGACAGTTGCACTAATGGAAAGATTGCCTCTACCTGCCAGTTGTGTGATGGCTACTGTTACAATGGTGGTACTTGTCAGCTGGACCCAGAGACAAATATACCTGCCTGTCTGTGAGTATCCTGCACTGTGCAGATCATTAGAATATCCCTGTGCCAACAACTAACAAAATTATTATGCACAAGTCTCTATTTAGATCTCCCTATGAGGTATAATGTGCTGGTTGCAGTCATAACTTACAGTATTTTTTCTATTTCTGTAGCCCAAAACTTAGTCTGCCTTTATTGCAATATATGTATTGAAAGATATTGCTCAGGTATATATTGGGAATGCATGTTGATACAAAGATATTCCTTTTGAGCCTTCTAATAATTTCAGGCTGGATCTAAAGTCTGTTTAGGCATTTGTTGTGGAATGGAATCCATAGGTACAGGATGGTTAAATGCCCTGCTTCTCAAATCTGGATTAAACCTTCTCTCCTCTAAAGATGGTCAGAAGTGGGAACAGTACACTCCTCCTGAAGGCTAGAGAATGGGAAGAGTCATATCAGTGTTTATTTCCTTTATGGGTCCATGGATATACTCATAGAATCATAGAATGGTTTGGGTTGGAAGGCACCTTAAAGATCAGCTAGTTCCAACCCCTGTGCCATGGGCAGGGACACCTGTATCTCTCCTTTCTGCCCTAGCCTTCACGCTGCCCATAGCAGCTTGACTGTTGTGTGGTGAGATTGCACTCTTCATCCTGCACCATGGTTGAGAGAATAATTCAGGATGCTTTTCTTAAGCCCAGACATCAAACACCAAAGGAAATGTGATTCTGTAGTCTAGAGAGTGAATACTGTCTTAAGAGGTAGGAAATCCTACATTCTAGTCCTTTCTTGAGAGCTATGGTGTATCTTCCTTTTTCAGCTGTTAAATATGAAATAAAGTAGTGACTGTAGCAAGAAATTAGTTTCTTTCCTGCTCTCAGCTACCCTGAGCTACCTAATCATACTCCTTCATTTTTGACTTTTGCCTAATAAATGATACGATCTTTTCTACACTGCTGAAAAAACTTCATTGTGGAATAGTTTTCCATTTGTCAGAACAACCTGGAGGTCAGAGCATCCTCCAGAAGTATATGAGGTGTTGGGAGAGAGAATTGAACTCGAGTGCCTCATTTCCAGGGTGGGATAAGGGAGTTGTTGTCTGAAGGGATCTGGCGTTACAACTTTGTAAATATGGATACAGCCAGCCCTTCATTTTGTTGATGTGTATGAGGTAGGTCATCCTAAAAGAGAGTGCCTGTTGTATTCAGACTCAAGGAAGCTACAAAGAGAAATGCCTGGACTCTGTAGCCTGACCAGTGTAAGAAATGGACCAAATGTTCCTCTCTGTGAGAGGTCAAGCACTCCTGAATGTGCAGAGGCAAAGCTGTACTATTGAAAAGTTGTTAATGGATGTTGGGAGCTTTGGGGTTAGAGACAGTGGAATGAGATTCTGCATGGTAGTCCTTATTCAGCTGAAAATGCTTGAAGTGTCTATGTCTCTCTTTTTGTGATTATTTTGATCCAACTCTTTTTACCTGTTATTTTATCTCCTTAAATGTCTTTAGCTGAGAACTAGGGAGATTCATAAATCTCAGCAAAAGGAGAATATCACAGCTATAATATGTAAGGCCCAAATATGATGAGTAAATCATTCATTAGAATGGCTATTTTTGTAGCTTGTGATTCTTCCTTTCTTTTTCATTATAAAACTAACTTATTCTTTTTTAAAGTCCTATGGAACACCATAGCATCTCAAGGAAAACAAGTTACATGCACTAACTTGTGCATGGATTTACAATACATGAATGTTTCAGCATTTGTTGGCACTGTTAGAAATGCCAAGAAAACATGAACATTTTTAAGACCTTTGCACTCTGGATCAATCAATACAAATGTATAGTACATTTGACAATAATACATTAAGTACCCACCAGTTAGTGTAGGCCCATTGTTTTAAAAGTGTTTGATCAGCAGTCAGATTGGATCATCCATGAAAACTAGAGTATTAATTTTGTTATCTGTGGGTGTGTGCCTGTGTATGCGTGTGTCTTGCCATCATTATTTATAATGCCTTGAAAATCTGTTCAGCAAAAGGTAGAATATTTATATAGGTCTATTTTACTGAAATTCTGCAGATGCTCTGTGGGGTTTAAAAGTCAGCGCTGTGACCAGAAAGTGAACCCTTGTGATTACTACTGTCAGAATGAGGGAATTTGCACTTTAACTGCGTTTAATGAACCGAGATGCAAGTAGGTTTAACCTTCCACTTAATGCTGCACATTCTGTGACATCATTTCAGGCCACAGTTCATTGGTTCAAGTCATGCACATTCACATACATTTCACAATATATACTTAATCTGGGGGCTCATTTCAATAATACACACTTACCCTTTGATAGTTCCACTGATGAGTGTATTTAAACATACTTTTGGAGTATCTATATAATTGGATGAAGAAATAAAAAGCTTTATTTTTAATAAATGAATTGAAAATACTGAAAATGCCACTTGGCTTTTATGGTTCATATTTTGAGATGTTGTACCAAGTTAATCCCACACAGCATAAAGTTTAGCAAACAATGGTGTTGCACATGTTCTGTAGTCCAAAACTGACTTCCTATTTGTTATCTGTACAGGGGAAGGAACAGAAGAGCTACTTAGGTACCACTGCAGGAGTTGCTTGTGTTCCTAAATCTCACTGTTAACTCTATAGATATAATGCTGTAAAACAGAAACTGTTAAACCAAACTATGTGAGCCTAACTCTGACTTCTCCTTTGGTTAAAAAAAAAGGATATGAAATAGATACATTTGTATGCTGTATTTCTCTTAAGGATTTTAGGTCTATTTCTTAAAGAGAAAACTTTAATCCTCATCAGGGAAAGAAACAACCTTAGTCTTTGAAAGTACTGCAAGGCAGAGATGCACAGAGATAAGAAATATCAGTCAGATGAACACAGCTTTCCTCAGCAAATGTGATGCAAAAGTCAGAATTGAAATCACAAGCCAAAGACCTAGACTTGGGATAAAATATGAAACTGCAACAACTTTAATCTTACCTCATCTAAATGCATGGTTTATGAAAACATAAAATGCTGTGGGGATGTGCTGTGGTTGTCTGGTGGGTAGCAATGACAGTGGCTAGGTATGGTGAATAATCTTCTAATTTTTTAAAAAAAATATGATCACAATTCCTTTGTCAGTGTTCTCAAGCAGTGAAACTCTATGACTTGAGCTGTCATAAATCCACTGGAAAGTAGATTAGTCTTCTAACTACCACTTCTTAAACTTTGGAAAGTATGGAATGGGTTTGTTCATCAGCGTTTGTGTGGGACATGGTTGCTTGGAACAGTTTGTGTCTCTGTGCCATGCATGAGTACAGAATTCACTCCTTCACTCTCAGAATGTAAGTACAGATAGAACTAGTGTTCCTTTGGGGTTAGTATGGACCAATGCCTGTGTCCAGAAATTAAGAGAACCTTCTAAATTGTTTCCTTTTTTTACAAAGCCAAGGTGGCTTAGAGGAAGAGGAGGAGAAGCAAATAGAAGTTGTCTGGTGGAGCTGAAGACAGTTACAGCAACAGAGAGGGGGATGTGTAACTCAGTATGTCTCAGTTCACCTTGCTAACCTCAGTTCAAGCTCCAGCTGTTCTCAGTGTCTTGTGTTCTGGAACCAAATTAGTTCTTCACTGGAACTTGGTTATAATTTTACCAACCTGATGCTGGCAAGTAGAAGACCTTAGGATGGAATGAAGTAATCCCATGCTTCACAAAAGCCATTGTGTCACAGAACAGGAGTCTCAGGGAATTTCTCTATAAGTTCTGTTCCATCATTTGGGAAAGGGGTTTATTCCTCCAGCCTGCATGCCTGGCCATGCTACATCATCTGTCTCTGGGCTCTGAGGAACACTTAGATAAGGGCTAACATTTTTCTTAACCAGTTTCCAGTTCATGTGTGGATGGTATTTAGAAGAAATAGGAGATGGCTGGTGTATTGTCATTCAGCAAGAACTCCTCTCTCTCACCCAACCAGATCAGTTGAGCATGCAGACTTTATACATAATTAAGCTCTTATTATCATTCAGTAAAGACAACAGAGAATAAAATTTGTCTGTTCTAAAGGGCAGTCATAAAGCTGTAATTATACAGAGGAATTATAAGCCTTTAAGAACATATTCTCCATTTACCAACCTGTACTGTTAGGGTACACTTTTATTTTCTCTTTTTTATCTGCATTTATTTTTATCCTGTCTAAAGTTTGTGGGGTTTTAAACCTGAATGCAGTAAATATTCAATACACATTGGAAAGAGAAGTCATGTTTTTCACCTAGCTGGTTTAGGAATGAATTAAGGCCTCACTGTGGCTTCATAGAAGCCACCAAAAAAGGTAGTTTTTGTGAAGTTGGTCTCCAGTTTCAATAAATGCTCTATCAGATTCTAAAAGATACAGAATATACTGTGATATTTCTTTGGACATAAATTGCTATACAATCTGGATCATTAATTCTTGGCACTAGTTTTAGGAATCTAAATAACAGTTTTCCCGACCCCGTTATTGTCCTTGCTCAATGACAAAGACTGTAAGAGAATTTGATGTCACAATGTATAGATTTGAGATCCTGACCCTTTCTGAAAAATGTGCCACTGAGGATGTCCTTTGAAGAAGTGTTTTACATGTAGTTACTTTTTTAGAATTCACATACTAAGTTTTTTAAGGATATCTTTAGTTCTACTCACGAGTAGGTCGACACGTTTGTGGTGTGATACAGAAGCATGTGAAATATATCTCAATTGTTCCAATAACTTCACAAATCCATTGAAAGCAGAACAGACAGGACATCAGATTCAGGTGGGAAATAATCAAGAAATGCTTCTTCTAGATATTTCACAGACTGTCAGTTCCAGCTGTTCTATATTAGTTTGTCTTTTGGTTTAATAATTACCTTTATTTGCCTCTGCTTTCCTTTCAGTGATCACCTAACTGCACATACATTCATGCAAGAGAAACAAGGCTTAGGGAGAGTTGGTATGTTGGTATTATACCAATGAAGAGAGCTGAAAAAAAAATGACTTTCAGCTACA